GGACTGTATTAAAAATATCTCTGTTTAACAAATCTCTCCCATCTACACTAGGTAACCCACCACTATTATTCGTGAACATTTAACGTCAGATTTCTTTCTTTGTTGTTAATAGTATTCCGACTTAGCGCCAAAACAACTTAAACTTCTTACCCTTAATGCACCAATGAACACTGCATTTCTCTAATGAACAGGCAATTGATCATTTTCTCCAATTGTTAGTAATACTTGCTCGACAAACAATGTTCTCCTAAATATAAATGGCAATTGTTAACAGCGATGGCCCACGAGCAATATTTTAATAATAATCCAATGACCGGCAATATTCCACGAGTAATATTAGATTTTTTTACTTATCCTCTTGCTCATTTATATCTAATTCGAAGAGAAATACTTTTTTCTTTCTTAACTATAAAAATTTAATTATTAACGTTCCAATGAACATTTCTCTTTGGTTGCGAAAATGGACTGACAAATTAATAAGTAAGTTCTTCATCTACTAAGCAATCAATGCCTTTTTCTTTCACTGATGCTTCTTCTCATTACAATATTGTTTTGCACTCTCAAATTCTAATTCATTTAAAGTTTTCAGCTCTCCTTCTCTCTGTTGTGTGTGTTTGTTGCTATTCACATTTATGCTAGTGACAACGGTATTCCTAACCAATATCAACAATTAGCATAACAAGAGAAAAAGAGAGTTTCAAAGAGGGAAGTAAAACAAGGATCGGTGTTTATGTGGGGTATGTTCAGTAAATGCTAAAGTAATGGTGGTGTATTGTTTCTCACATAACCAAGTGTTTGTCTAAGGGATTTCAAGAAACAAAAAATAATATGAAAAAGTTGTTCTTGAAAATAATGTTTTAAGAGAATTATTCCGCCTAAAGAAAATAATAAAATATAATAACCATTAGCATAACAATCAAAAGAGAGTAACAAAGGGAGAAGAACAACGGTGTTTTTGTGGGGTATGTTCAGTAAAAGCTACAAAGCTGATGCTGCAGCAGCGTTTCTCACATAACCAAGTATTTATCGTTGGGATTTGAAGAAAAAGAAAATCTTAAAAAAATATGAAAAAGTTGTACTGGAAATAATATTTTAAGATAAATATTACACTTAAAGAAAATAATAAAATGTTAACAATTAGCATAACAAGAAATATAGAGTAACAAATTCAGAAGAACAAGAGTGTTTTGTGGGGTATGTTCAGTAAAAGCATCAAAGTTGATGCTGCAGTAGCGTTTCTCACATAACCAAGTATTTATCGGGGGGATTTTAAGAAAAATATAAAATTTTAAAAAATATGAAAAAGTTGTTTTTGTACATAATATTTTATGTGAAATATTACACCCAAAGAAAATTATAAAATATTAAAAATTAAAATAAAATAGATTTTTGTTCTCCTAGACCATTTCATCTGTGTGGAATTTTAAGGATATTTTTCTCCCAGCATATATTTAATTAGAAGGGTTCTTCCAAGATAAAGGCAACTCCTACTAAGAAGTAAAATAATGTGGAAATTATTATTTAAAAAAAATCTTGGAGATTATAAAAATCTCCCCTATGATATTTTAAGGAAATTTTGGAAAAAATACCCATTAAAAATCATTTGAAAATAAAAAATATTGAGGATTTATATGTGTTCCCTGAGACTAGTTTTTCAAATATTTTGGATTTTTCCCCAAAAAGGGGAAAGTCAAAAAATGTGGGAATTATTATTTTAAATAAATCTACCAGGAATTCTCCCTTAAGATAATTTAAGGAAATTTTGCAAACAAAAAAATTCCTTGGAAAACAAACCTTTGAAAATAAATAAATATTTAGAACAGATTTGTCCCACTCAAACTAGTTTTGCCAATATTGATGATTTTTCCCACAAAAGGGAATATTTCTTATTAAATTAGGCAGAAAAAAATTCAAATTGGGGACTTGAGGATTTGGTGGGAATCTTTTAAAAAATCAATGAATTTAATTGAAGTGTCATATTTTAATCATTTCAACTACTGAGAAGGGAGGCTATGAATTGAATTTTATGTACAATTATTATTATTATTATTATTGTTATTTTTTTTTTTTTTTTAATTTTATTTATTTTTTCTTTTTTTTTGAGGAAATTCAATCAAATTTAAGGAGATTTGAATTTGGGGACGAGAGATAGAAAAATACTGACAAATACTGCCTGAGATCAAAAATTTCCGCCAATATCTCCCTACCTTGACCTCTTTCCCTGGTTTCATTTCTTTCCTGTCTCTCCATACATATGTGAAGCCTCTTCTTATTGTCGCCAGCATGTCCCGCCAAAGTTTCATCTTTGGCAATTATTTGTTTTTTTTTTTTTGTCTCCTCTCCAGACAACGGAAAATTTACTCAATTTCGGATATTTGCGAAACGCTTGATTTTCCCCCCTGGTTTTTGTTTATTTTGTAGTGAAAGTTCCCCATATCCAATATTGTTCACTCAAATACCTCATCTATATTGCAAATGGACATTTGTGCATATCATGGTGGCACATTATAAGCCAAAGAAAAAAATCTTCCATAGATATACGGCGGCATACATGGCCAACTAATGTGGTGTGGAGAGTTACCTAGGGAGGAGGAGCGGGAGAAGGAGGATGATTGTTGATGACTAGTGGGGAACCATACACAAAAAATGTTGCAACATCAGCTGACCAAATGCCTGCCACCAAACATCTATTACATACCCGGTTGGATGGTTGGCTTTTGTAACCGTCTAACTCACAATAAAACGCAACATGCATTGTTGCAATAACACAATGCATGTGCATGTGCCGGGGAGTATTTTTGTTGTGGCAACAGGCAGCTCCATGTAAACGCAAATATGGGAAGTTGCAACTTCAACTGAAAATCATAAGTTTAAATAAGAAAAGCCTAAAAAGGAAATCTCCAATGGAATTTTGGTTTTTTTTTGGGATTTTTGTTAAATTCGGGGGATTTTTGAAAAATACCCCGGGAAGAAAAAAATAGGAAAATAGTGGTATTATTTTTAAAAATCCAAGGAAAAAGTAAGAAAGTAATACAAATTAAAAAAAATAATAAAAAATGAATATAAATTTCGAACAAATCAGGAGGTAAATATCACGGGAAGAAAAACATATTTCTCCGGGGATTTTTAGAAAATCACAGGAAAAAAAAATTACTAAAAAAAGGTGACGAGTGGCAGTAAGATCGTCCCTCCACCATTTGGAAATTTTCAAAAAATAAATAAAACATAGAATTCCTTATAAATTCTGTGAAAATCATCAAAATACCGAATATCGGGAGGTACAGTTATATGGGGCCTATACGAAGACGTGGACCTACATACGACTTTTTTTGCACATAGGTTGTGTACCCATTACAAACTTCGAAAACGAAATTTCAAACAGTTCGGATAAATAGTGTGGCTAAAATCATGAAAATACCGAGTATCGGGAGGTAACGTTATATGGAGGCTATACGAAGCGGCGGACCTGCATAAGTAATTTTTTGTCATAGGCTGTAGTACCAATTAAGATCTTTAAATACCAAATTTGAAACAATTCCGGTGAATAATGTCGCTAAAATCAACAAAATACCGAATAAAGGGATGTATCGTTATATGGATATTAAACGAAGACGTGGATCTGGACAGACAATTTTCTGTCTTAGGCTGTAGTATCCATTACGAACTTCAAATACCAAATTTTAAATAATTCCGGTGAATAATGTCGCTAAAATCATCAAAATACAGAATATCGGGAGGTACTGTTATATGGAAGCTATACGAAGCGGCGGACCTGCATAAGTAATTTTTTCTCATAGGATGTAGTACCAATTAAGATTTTTAAAAACCAAATTTTAAACAATTCCGGTGAATAATGTCGCTAAAATCATTAAAATACCGAATATTGGGAGATAGAGTTATATGAGGGCTATACGAATAGGTGGACATGCAAACGAAATTTTTTGAAATATGCTGTAGTATCTATTACAAACTTCGAAAACGAAATTTCAAAGAGTTCGGGTAAATAATGTCGCTAAAATCATTAAAATACCGAATATCTGGATGTACCGCTATATGGGGGCTATAAGAAAACGTGGACCTGCACAGACACTTTTCTGCCTTAGGTTGTAGTATCCATTAAGATCTTTAAGTACGAAATTTGAAACAATTCCAGAGATTAATGTTGCTGAAATCATTAAAATATCGAATATCGGGAGGTATCGTTATAAGGGGGCTAAAAAAAGGCGTGGAGCTGCATACGAAAAATGTTGTCACACGCCATACTATCCATCAGGATTTTCAAATACGAAATTTGAAACAATTCCGGCGAAAAATGTAGCTAAAATCATAAAAATACCGAATAAAGGGAGGTACCGTTATATGAAGGCTATACGAAGACGTGGACCTGCATACGAAATTTTTTGCCATAGGTTGCAATATCCATTACACACTTCGAATAGGAAATTTGAAACAATTCCCTTCAATAATGTCGCTGAAATCATGAAAATACCGAATATCGGGAGGTACCCTTTATACTATGGTGGAGGGTAAAAAATGAAATTATAAAGATTTGGGCATTCTTGAAATCATATACTGATTTTTTGGACATTTCTAAAGAAACCAGGAGATTTTTGGAAAATATACCATTATCTCAGCCTGCCTGTATTTTGTTGTCACCACTGGACGCATGTTATTTCCAGCATATTGAGATGACAATCAAATGTTGGCCATTATGGCCATATTGTTAGATAAGTTAACAAATTATTGTTGACCAAAAAGAAAAAAAAAATTATTTTGAAACTGAAAAGCAATTTTGCAACGTTGCTCAAAGGTATGGTTAATAGTTTGCACAAATGAGATCCTAATCGCCTTCGAAGAGAGGGAGAGAGAGTGAGAGAGAGCGAAACACCCCACCTTATTAATATCTCTTTAACATTAATCATATTTCTAATAGTTATTAATATTGCGAAATTGAAAAAAAAAAACAAAACTAAATTATCTTTTCTATTTTCTGCTTCCAGACTCTACAGTCGTGTCCCACCATCAGCAGCTGTACCAATGAACCCGATACCCTGAGCGCCAACAACGACTCGCTACAGACCACCCCAGATAGTACCCTACAAAAACCAGCCAGTCTCCAGCAACATCATCATCAGCACCATCAACCGCTCAGTCCCCATCATCTGCATCCGCACAGCCACAGCAACGGTGTTGGTGTTGGTGTCGGTGGCCCAGCCAACAGTGCCACCAGCGACACATCGTCCACATCCTTTCACCAGCGTTTTGACTTCAGTCAATTAAAAGCTCGTCTACCGGAACTAAATTGTCTGCACAGTTTACAGCGCTATTGGCAAAACAGCAACGGCCAATCACCGGGTGACGGCAGCAGCAACGATCCAACGTCCGGCTGTGGAAAAGATGATGGTAGTGGTGTTGGCAGCAATTCCTTTTATGCCAATAATATCTTAGGTTACACCTTTGGCTACACATTCAACGGCAAAGATTCCGGCAAAGGTGAGGCGGTACGTGAGACGCCACTGCAGAAGTTCTATCGTCACCAGCAGCAAAAGAAAATGCCAGCGTTTCGCGGTCGACGTGGTTGGTGTGGGTGTTTTCAGGTAATTGAGGAAAATTTTGAATAAAATCTTCATTTAATTACATTTAAATTGAAAATCGTATTAAGCTGGCATTTCAGAACCCCATTTGGCGGCTAAGTGACTTGTAACGGAAATGTATTTTGAAGTTTGGGCGTTACAAGAGAATTTTTGGGGTCATTAATTTTTTGAGAGAAAAAAAAGAAGTCAGAACCTACGCAAAAAATGTTCGGCAATGGATTTTTTATGACATGATTCTGTTACTACATTGACATTAGGGGTATTCACGAACTATAGCTAACATTTTTTATTGAAAAAGTCGGTTGAGCCAACATTTTCAGAATTTTTTAATAAAAATAAAAAACAATTCACAATTCGAATAAAATCGGCAGTGGATTTATTATGACAAGATTTTGTTACTCAATTGACATTAGGGGTGTTCACTAACCATAGCAAAATTTTTTATTGAAAAAATTTCAGAATTTTTTAACCAAAAAAAAAAAACTAGTAAAAAAGCAGCTAATTTCGGCCGGACCGAACTTTTAATATCCTCCACCATTTTCTAGAAACTGGAAAATTTTTTTAAAAAATTCCAAAAAAAAAAACATTTTTTTGATGACCCTTATAAGGGGGCTCTACGAAGACGTAGACCTGCACAGACAATTTTCTGTCGTAGGCTGTAGTATCCATTACGAACTTCACATACCAAATTTGAAACAGTTCCGTTGAATAATGTCGCTAAAATCATCAAAAAACCGAATAAAGGGAGGTACTCTTATATGAGGGCTATACGAAGCCATAGACCTGCACATACAATTTTCTGTCATAGGCTGCAGTATTCATTGCGAACTTCAAATACCAAATTTGAAACAATTCCGGTAAATAATGTAGCTACAATCATTAAAATACCGAATATTGGGAGGTACTCTTACATAAGGGCTACACGAAGACGTAGACCTGCACAGACAATTTTCTGTCATAGGCTTTTATATCTCCTACGATCTTTAAATACCCAATTTGAAACATTTCCGGTAAATAATGTCGCTAAAATCATTAAAATACCGAATATCGGGAGGTGCTGTTATATGGGGGCTATACGAAGTCGTAGACCTGCACAGACAATTTTCTGTCATAGGCTGTAATATCCATTACGAACTTCAAATACCAAATTTGAAACAATTCCGGTGAATAATGCCGCTAAAATCATCAAAATACCGAATATCGGGAGGTACAATTATATGGGGCCTTTACGAAGACGTGTACCTGCACTGACAATTTTCTGTCATAAGCTGTAGTATCCAATACGAACTTCAAATACGAAATTTGAAGCAATTCCTGTAAATAATGTCGCTAAAACCATCATAATACCGAATAAAGGGAGGTACTCTTATATGAGGGCTATACGAAGCCATAGACCTGCACAGACAATTTTCTGTCATAGATTGTAATATCCATTACGAACCTCAAATACCAAATTTGAAACAATTCCGGGGAATAATGTCGCTAAAATCATCAAAATACCGAATATCGGGAGGTACAATTATATGGGGCCTTTACGAAGACGTGTACCTGCACTGACAATTTTCTGTCATAAGCTGTAGTATCCAATACGAACTTCAAATACAAAATTTGAAGCAATTCCTGTAAATAATGTCGCTAAAACCATCATAATACCGAATAAAGGGAGGTACTCTTATATGAGGGCTATACGAAGTCGTAGACCTGCACAGACAATTTTCCGTCATAGATTGTAATATCCATTATGAACTTCAAATATCAAATTTGAAACATTTCCGGTGAATAATGTCGCTAAAATCGTCAAAATACCGAATATCGGGAGGTACCCCTGTATGGGGGCTATACGAAGTCGTAGACCTGCACAGACAATTTTCTGTCTTAGGCTGTAGAATCCATTACGAACTTCAAATACCAAATTTGAAACAATTTCGGTAAATAATGTCACTAAAATCGTCAAAATACCGAATATCGGGAGGTGCCGTTATATGGAGACTACACGAAGGCGTGGAACTGCACGGACAATTTTCTGTCATAGGCTGTAGTATCCATTACGAACTTCAAATACGAACTTTGAAACATTTCCGGTGAATAATGTCGCTAAAATCATCAAAATACCGAATAAAGGGAGGTACGGTTATATGGGGGCTATACGAAGGAGTGGACCTGCGTAGACAATTTTCTGTTATAAGCTTTAGTATCCATTACGAACTTCAAATACCAAATTTGAAACAATTCCGGTGTATAATGTCGCTAAAATCATCAGAATACCGAATATCGGGAGGTACCATTATATGGGGGCTATACGAAGACGTGGACCTACATGGCCCATTTTAAATACCAAAAGTCCTGTAGACATAATATACATTTGAGTAAAATTTTATAAATCTACTTCAATTCGTTCGGAAGATAGAGTGATTTCCACAAACGGACAAGCGGATAGACGGACAGACGTATAAATGGACAGACGAATAGAAGGACGGACGGACATTGCTAAATTGACATACAATTTTATGCTGATCCACAATATATATACTTTTTGGGTCGAGGTGTTACAAACGAAATGATAAACTTAATATGCCCTCCATACTCTATGGCGGAGGGTATAAAAATTAAAAAAGTCAGTTAAGACAAAAATTTCAGATTTTTTTTTTTCAAACGAAAAAAAGCAATTCAGCCTTGTTTTCCAAATTCTGCAAAGTTTTTCTATGGGGAAACTGAATTCAGCAGAGAAAAACTCAATGAAGCAGGGTTTTTCTGTAGAAAAACTCAGTTTGATTTATTAGAAAATCTCAATTCAGTTAAGTTTTTTAACTGAAAATTCCAATTCAAATTTTCATTCAAATTCAGAATTTTTCTATTTTAAAAAACTTTGCGGGATTGGGAGATTTCCATAAAAATAACCTTGGCATAGTTGAGTTTTTTCACAGAAAACCCTTTGGCTGAATTGAATTTTTCTATAGAAATTCAATGGAACCATTGGGGGTCTATCGATGACATACTTCCTTCTAACACCCTATAGTATTGCCTTCCTCACATCTTTTTCCATTCCATAATTTTTCATTTCGAAATTTAATTTTCAACTCCATTCAAAAACAAAATATAACTAAACTAAAAAGCCACAAAACCAGCAGCATTGATGTTGAAATCAATCCCCTTAAAATATTTAGAGTACATAACTTGGAACTACTTACTACATATATATGTATGTACAAAGATACGTACATATTTTATAGATAGCTTGCAATTTATGTTTATAAATTTATTTTTTTAAATACAATTTTCAATACACGCTTTTTGTATTTTCTTTCCTTTGTTGTGTTCCACAAAATCTTGATAAGCCGGGCTAACAAAGCAAAATGTTGTTGTTTTTTTCTCTCTCTCTACTATTTTTTGTGCAGTTAAGTCGGGTTTATTATCGTCAGAAATGATTTGTAAGTGATTTTGCAATCCGATTTTGAAAAATGTCGTAAATGTCGCAAACATGTATAATATGTCAAAAACCTCAGACACTCAATTTTTTGAGTCGAAGGAGTTTTTAATATCAATTTTAAACTATTTTTAATGATTTTGAGAAAATTTTGAAAAATGTCGTAAATGTCAAAAACTTGTATAAAATGTCAAAAACCTTAAAAATTCAATTCTATGAGCCAGGGAAGTGTTTAATATCCATTTCAGGTTATTTTTATAGTTTTGAAGCAATTTGGAAAAATGTCGAAAATGTCAAAAACTTGTATAAAATGTCAAAAACCTCAGAAGTTCAATTTTATGAGCCAGGGAAGTGTTTAATATCCATTTTAGGTTATTTTTATAGTTTTGAAGCAATTTGGAAAAATGTCGTAAATGTCAAAAACTTGTATAAAATATCAAAAACCTCAGAAGTTCAATTTTATGAGCCAGGGAAGGGTTTAACATCCATTTTAGGCTATTTTTTATGATTTTGAGGGAATTTGGAAAAATGTCGTAAATGTCAAAAACTTGTATAAAATGTCAAAAACCTCAGAAATTCAATTATATGACTCTGGAAAGCATATAATGTCCATTACATGCTATTTTTATGACTTTCAGGCAATTTTGATAAATGTCGTAAATGTCAAAAACTTGTATAAAATGTAAAAAACATAAAAGTACTTAAGATATGAGCATTAGGGGTGTGTAATATGAGTTTTAGACAATTTTTTGAGTTTTTTTTTTTTAACACAAATCTGAAAAATGTCGTAAACGTCGCAAACGAGTATAAAGTGTCAAAAACCTCAGAAGCTTAATTTTTTGAGTTGGGGAAGTGTTTAATATCAAGTTTAGGCTATTTTTATAGTTTTGACGCAATTTTGAAAAATGTCGTAAATGTCAAAAACTTGTATAAAACGTCAAAAATTCAATTATATGATTCAGGAAAATGTCCATTGCAGGCTAGCTTAATTTTTTGAGTTGAGGAAGTGTTTAATATCCTTTAGCCTATTTTGAAGGGTTTGAAGCAATTTTCGATAATGTCGTAAATGTCAAAAACTTGTATAAAATGTAAAAAACTTTAAAGTAACTGCTATATAAGCCAAAGATATGTTTTATATGAATTTTGACAATTTTTGAGTATTTTCAATACAATTTTGAAAAATGTCGTAAACGTCGCAAACGTGTATAAAGTGTCAAAAACCCCAAATCTCCAATTTTATGAGCGTGGGAATTATTAAATATCAACTCTAAGCTATTTCGTTAATGTCATAAATGTCAAAAATTTGTATAAAATGTATAAAACTAAAAAAAAATATTTACCAGGAAACCCTAACAGGGTTTTAATATGAATTATAGGCAAATTGTTTGGTTATTTTACATATTTTTAAAAAATGTCGTAAATGTCAAAAACCTGTATAATGCGTTTAAAACCTCTAAACCTCTATTATTTGAGTCTAGGAAGTGTTCAATTTCGGTTTTAGGCTATTTTAATGCTTTTTAGGTAATTTCGGAAAAATGTCGTAAAGGTCAAAAACTTGTATAAAATGTAAAAAAAGTAAAAGTAGTTGGCATATACCCTTTGGTGGTGCTTAATATGAGTTTTAAGCAAATTTTAAGTTCTTTCATACAATTTTAAAAAATGTCGTAAATGTCAAAAATCTGTAAACACTGTCAAAAACTTCACAATTTTTGGAATGATGCTCCCAGATGTGTGTATCGCAAAAAGTTATATGGTCCAGTATCTTTTTTTAGTTTTCCACACAATTTTATAACATGTCGTAAATGTCAAAAACCTGTAAAAACCTCTTAAATGTTAGCAAACACAAATAGATTTATACTCTAGACAATCTTTAAGGTCTACACACGATTTTACAATTCGTCGTAAATGTCACAAACTGAAAAATGTCAAAAACTTCAAAAAAAATTTATAGGAAACGTTAGATTTAGAATAGAAATCGATGAATACATAATTTTATTCATTCTTGGGTGATTTTTGTAAAATGTTGGTAATTGTCAAAAATGTCTAAAACTGTATAAAATATAGGAAACATTAGAATTTGAATGCAATTTGAAGAGATATTGATAAATACCGGTTTTTATTCATTTTTAGAGTGATTTTTGTAAAAAATAATATATGTCAAAAATGTCTAAAACTGTATAAAATATATGAAACGTTGAGTTTTAAATGAAATTTGAATAGAAATCGATAAATACATGGTTTTATTCATTTTTGAGTGATTTTGTCTAAATTTGGTAAATGTCAAAAATGTATAAAATTGTATAAAACATAGGAAACGTTATATTTTGAATGAAATTTCTATAGAAATCGATAAATACAAGATTTTATTCATTTTTGGGATATATGTAAAAAAAATTGTAATTTCATTTTTGGGATAAAGTAAAAAATGTCTAAAACTGCATAAAATGTACGAAACATTAGATTTTGAATGAAATTAGAGTAGAAATCGATAAATATATGATTTTATTCATTTTTGGGTGATTTTTGTAAAAATATGATAGATGTAAGAAATGTCTAAAACTGTAGAAAATGTGGGAAAAGTTAGATTTTGAATGAAATTTGAAAAGGAATCGATAAATACATGTTTTTTTTATTTTTGGGTGATTTTGTCAACATTTGGTAAATGTCAAATACGTATAAAACTGTATAAAATATAGGAAACGTTAAAATTTTGATACTTTATAAAGGGAAATGGATAGATATCAGTTTTTATTAATTTTTGGGTGACTTTCTCAAAATTTTGTAAATGTCGAAAATGTCTAAAACTGTATAAAACATAGAAAACGATAAAATTCTAAGACTATTTGAAGATAAATGTATAAATACCAGATCATATTCATTTTTAGGGTGATTTTTTCTAAATGTTATAAATGTAAAAAATGTCTAAAACTGTATAAAATATAGAAAACGCTAAAATATTAATGGTTTCTGAAGAGAAATGGGTTAATACCACTTTATATTAATTTTTAGGGTGATTTTTTCAAAATTTGGAACATGTCAAATATGTATAAAACTGTATAAAAAACGGAAAACTTTAGAAATGTAATACTATTTGAAGAGAAATCGATAAATACATGTTTTTAATTATTTTTTGGCTGATTTTTTTCGTGTTTTGTAAATGTCAAAAATGTCTAAAACTGTATAAAACGTGGAAAACGATAAATTTTAAATGATATTTAAATCGATATGGATAAATATGTGTCTTTATTAATTTTTATTTTGATTTTTGTCAAGATTTGTAGACGTCGAATATGTCTAAAACTGTATAAAATATATGAGATGTTAGAAATTCTAAAATATTTTTATAAAAACTAATAAAACACCTCTTAATATTTTATTAGGTTAATTTTTGATAAGATCTGCAGTTGTCAAAAATGTCTAAAACTGTAGAAAATGTGTTAAATATTAGAAATATGCCATTTCTGTTAACCATTCTTGTAGTTTTGTTTAAAAGGGGTTAGTTGGATAGGTCTTGCTTCTAACCCGGATAAGTTTTTTTTTTTTGCTCACCTTGCCTAGTTTGCCTCTGGTCAGCTGTTAATACAAAACAAAAAACCAGCTTAAAGTTACAATCACTTTGTTGGCCGACAATATGTTTTACTCCACCGTTTTGCTGGAGTTGTTGTAAAAGTTTTGCAAAACAACAAATTAATTGGTTATGCTCCACTAATAAAATGCCAATTACTGTCCAAATGATAAGAATTGGCAACACCCAAACCACCTTCGAAGAAAAAACAAAAATTGTAAAATTAAATCGCTTTTCCTTTCCCTTTTTTCCAGGACGATGAACCACCTGAGATTTGTGTGGTTGAGGGGGCCTTTACCCTGCAAACCCTGACACCCACCCAGCCGATGCCCTCTGTGGATGAGTTGGACACCAAATTCGCGGAGTTGGTGGAAGAGCTGGATTTGACGGCGCCCAACAAAGAGGCAATGTTGAGTTTGCCTCCCCAAAAGAAATGGCAAATTTATTGCTCAAGAAAATCACCCCTGGACACCATTGATGGCGGGGGTGCATCGAGCAATATTACCCAACCTCCGACGGCTGAAAATTATGTGGAACGCCTCAAGGATCTGGCCCTACACATTTCCATTAGTCCCGAAGATTCACCGTGCCATGAGTATAATGCTCGCATTGAAAGCCATACACATTTCCTGGATGCCCTGAAGACAGCTCTCAGGACGTCCACGCACAGTTTTGTCTTGCGTTTTGTGGAGTTTGAGGGTTTGCCGGCCCTGCTGAATCTGTTGCAGAAAATGGATATACGGGTGGCGAATAGTCCTTTTCATACTAGTCTCATTGGATGTATCAAAGCTTTGATGAATAATTCGGTGAGTTGTTGGGACATACTTATTTGGATCTCTCATTAATCGCTCTCTTTCTCTTTTTTTCTGAACAGACCGGTCGTGCCCATGTCTTGGCCCATCCCACCTCCATTGATACCATTGCCCGTTCCCTGGCGGCGGATAACATCAAAACCAAAGTGGCAGCCTTGGAAATTTTGGGTGCCGTCTGTCTGGTGCCTGGTGGCCATCGCAAGGTCTTACAGGCCATGTTAAATTTCCAGGAGTTTGCAGCAGAACGTACCCGTTTCCAGAGTATTGTAAATGATTTGGATCGTTCAACAGGAGCCTATCGGGATGATGTGAATTTGAAAACAGCCATTATGTCTTTTATTAATGCGGTGCTGAACTATGGCCCCGGCCAGGAGAATTTGGATTTCCGTTTACATTTGCGCTACGAATTCTTGATGCTGGGCATACAACCCATCATTGATAAGCTGAGGAAACATGAAAATGAAACCTTGGACAGGCATTTGGTAAGGACAGGAAAATATAGACTTTCAAAATAAATTTGAGTCATAATTGTACCCTTTTCTTTCCAGGACTTTTTCGAAATGGTCAGAGCCGAGGACGAAAAAGAACTGGCCCGGAAATTCGAACACGAACATGTGGACACCAAAAGTGCCACCACCATGTTTGACTTTTTGAGACGTAAACTAAGTCATTCTCCAGCCTATCCCCACTTGATTTCCTTGCTGCAGCACATGCTTTTGTTGCCCTGTAAGAACCCACCTCCTTTCCGCTTTTACTCTTCTAAAATAATAATAATTTTTCCTCTCCTCCTCTAGACACTGGTCACTGCACCCAACATTGGTTGTTATTCGATCGAGTGGTCCAACAAATTGTCCTACAAACCGAGGGTCGACCACGCAGCGACATTGATTCCGATGATCCAAACAAAGAAAAGGAACCCATCTCCCCCGTACATGATCCCGATGTGGCTCCCCTTGAAATAAATGTCTCCAAATTGGTCCATCTACTCGTCAAAGAAGAAGAACTCACCCAGGCCCGCAAACGAGCCGATGAATTGGAAAAAGAAAATTTCGACATTCAATCGCGTCTGGCGAAAAAAGAACAAGAATTAGACTTGCGAATGCAGGAAAAAGAAGATCTCGAAACGGGCTTGGCTCGTATGCGTGAACGCCTCGAAAAAGAGTCGGCCAATCATTCGCAGGCTGTGCAAAGAGCTCAGACAGCCGAAATGAAATTGGAAGATTTACAACATAAACTGATGACAGAGCAACAGGAAAGAGCCAGATTGGAACGTTTGGTCACCGAGGGTAGTATACCCGATGACCAGAAAGTGGCAGGGCTAACTGGTTGCAATGCTCCCCAAGAACCAGTGAAAATAGTGCCACCACCACCGCCACCAATGATGGCAGCAGCACCACCTCCACCACCATTGCCGGCCGGACCACCGCCACCACCTTGCCCTGGACCACCACCACCGCCTGTGATGACACCAGCAATGGGTAAGGATGGGGGAGAACAAAAATTGATATTTTATACGATGAGATCTACCAGGAATAGAAGACCCCTTGAATGGGTTTTTCGAAAGGCCTTCTAAATATGGCTTCCGACTGTTAAGAAAGTCTCTTTTTTGCATAAATGATTTTCTCTACAAAAGAAGGTCAAGGCTGTGTACATACATAGCAAAACCATTCAACGGCCTCCTATCCATAGAGGGTCTTTGGAACAACTTCCAGTAAAAGATATTAAAATCGTCTCCCTAAATAAAATTTACCCTTAAATTATCCCTGGAAAATCATCTCTATGAAGATGATCCCTGACAAAATAAGGTTTCAAATGGGAGATTTTCTATCAAAAGAGGACCCATTAAGAGATCTTTCAAAAGGTTTTCCATACAAAGACCTCATAAACGATTTTTTAACTACTAAAAATAGGTCCTCTAGGTATAAGATTTTCTCTCTGATAAAGAAGACTGAACGATAGCCAATAGAAGAACCCTTCACAAACCGCATAAACACACAGAAAACCCATTCAAATGTCTCTATCGAAACCCCAACCTTGCAAGGTCTTGTAATAATAGAATTAAAAAACTTCTCTTTATAAAAAATCCTTTATAATACCCCTTGGAAGAGTTTCTATATAAAGAAGACCCCTTGAAAAATCATCTGTCCAAAGAAGGAGGTACTCATATATCTATAGAAAGATCATTAAAATGTCTCCCGTTTAAAAAAAACTGCTCAGGAAAGTCTTTTATTTTTAAATGAAAGATATGCCGTCCGAATTAAAAAGCATAAAGGATCTACAATCTACGAAAAGTCCCTCAAAAAATTCTTAAACTTTAGAAAAATCCTTGAAAGATTTTCTGTAAGTGGGAGGCCACTTGTATGTTATTCTTCCTACTGAAGGCCACTTGGAGAATCCCCTCCATAGACCCTTAAAAGGTTTTCTTTCCATCCATAAAAAAATCCCCCAGAAGTCTCTGTTAAAGGATACCTCTTGATAGATCTACTATTCATATGAGACACATTCCAAGGCCATCTTAGAATGCAAGAGTCGCTAGAAGTGTATTTCAACATTAAAGGACTTCTTTTTAAGCCATCTTTGAAACCTTCGGTGGACCTAATACGATTTTAAGATCTATCGACTATAGAAGAACTTTTCCCGTTCACTTTTAAGGGACTTCAAATTATGGAACGCCCTTTGAGTAGCCTAGTAGTATATAAACCCCAATTTAATGGTCTTCTCTACATCCACTCTCCATTGAATACAGCTTAAAATACCTTCCATCAGCAACATAGACTTCTATATTAAGAAGACTCTTTAAAATCTTTAAAATATCTATACCTATAAAGATTTTAAGATCTACTGACTATAGAAGGATTTTTTCCGTTCACTTTTAAGGGACTTCAAATTATAGAAGACACTTTCGGTGGTCTACTGGTATATAAACACCCATTTAATGGCCTTCCCTACATCCACTCTCCATTGAATACAGCTTAAATGACCTTCCATCAGCTTAAATGACCTTCTGTCTTAAGAAGACTCTTTAAAATATCTATACCTATAAAGATTTTAAGATCTACTAACTATAGAAGGATTTTTCCCGTTCAGTTTTAAGGTACTTCAAATTATAGAACGCTCTTTTAGTGGTCTAGTTTATAAACCCCCATTAAATGGTCTTCTCTACTTCCACTCTCGGTAGAATACCGCTTGAAAGACCTTCTATGTTGCTGATACATAGACTTCTATCTTAAGAAGACTCTTTAAAATCTTTAAAATAACATTTGACAGGACTTCTATAAATCAAGGGTCTTTTTTGAATTCCATTGACAGCGGCCGTTTTAGACAGGGTATAACTCACCAGTTGAACTCTTAGAAGGAAACGTATAAGAGACATAACTTGAATATTATTTTATTAAAAATAAAACAATTACTTATATCTTAGAAGCGGTTCGGATCCGCTCTCCACAACACCTGCAAAGTCTATTAACCCTTAAATAATTTTGAATTAATTATTTTCTTTTTCCAGCCCCACCTGCACCCAAAGCCGAAGTACCCAAAAAGAATGTGCCCCAACCCACAAATCCCTTGAAGAGTTTCAATTGGTCCAAGTTGCCTGATGCCAAGGTTCAGGGTACTGTCTGGAGTGAATTGGATGAATCGAAATGGTATAACAATATTGAGCTGGAGGCAATTGACAAATTATTCTCGGCCTATCAAAAGAATGGAGTGGCAGTGAGTATATTTTTAAACAATATTAGAACCATAACCATATTTTGGAAGAAGATTTTTATGTATGAAATGGAAGTACAGGGGCTTGTATATGCATGTCGAACGAAAAACATCAATTCTAGGTGTGTTTTTCAAATTTTTGGATTAATTTTTTCGTTGAATAAAAAAATAAAAATTTTGAAAAACACACATAGAAATGTTGGTTTTCGTTCACATTCATTTTCTCCCGACATACATCAAAAAATCCAATGCGTAGCAGGGGAAAGAGAAACACCCTCCCAAAATTTCTATTGTCTTTCAATTTTCAACACATGGCTTCGATTTTCTTGTGATATTTTATTAACCTTCTTAAAATTCTCATTTTTTTTCAGACCGTTCCCGATGGTTCCATTGAAGATTTACGCTTGATGGGTAGTAAACCACGTAACAAGGTCTTATCCGTTATTGATGGCCGGCGGGCACAAAATTGCACGATTCTCTTGAGTAAATTGAAAATGACAGATGAAGAGATTTCCAAGTAAGTTGAAAGGGAGGATTCGTCATATCATCTTATACTTATCCATATTTTTTTGACCTTTCACAGAGCCATATTATCCATGGATTGCAATGAACAATTGGCTTTAGACATGGTGGAGCAATTGCTTAAGTTTACACCCTCGGCTGAGGAAAGAGCTTTATTGGATGAACACAGTGAAGATATTGAGTCATTGGCCAGGGCCGATCGTTTCCTATATGAAATATCCAAGTAAGTATTTCGGAGAAGAAGAAGATAATTAATAACCCAAAACGAAGTTTGATATTAACAAAGCGTGGACCGATGTGTTTTTTTTTTTTTTTTTTTTTTTTTTTGGGGGGGGGGGAAAGATCGTTTACCCTCTTCTATATCGAAATGCCAAATTTAGTTCTGCTTCTAACTCCAAATTCAAGAAGGACGTAACCTGTATACCTCGTTTCCATAACTCCGATAAAGTTATTAAATGAGTAGCTTTGTCTGGGCGGTAAAGAGGTGCAGCAGCCCAATACGAATCAAGGCGGCTATACACCATTATGCTGCACCACCCAAAACGAAGTTTGATATTAACAATGCATGAACCGATGTGTCTATTTTTTGGAGAAAAAAAAAAACGTTTACCCTCTTACATTCCGAAATGCTAAATTTGGTTCTGCTTCTAACTCCAAATTCAAGAAGGACGTAACATCTATGGGTCGCTTCCATAACTCCGATATCGTTATTGGATGAGTATGTTTGGCTGGACGGTAAATAGGTGCAGCGGTCCAATACAAATCGAGGCGGCCACACCATCCTACTGCATTATTAGGTCAGCTCTCACTCTTTAGGTGCGATGGGAGGGGGATGGTCTCAGAGTACGATATTCACTCTATATTCCTTCATGACTTCTGTGGCAGAGTTGTTGTTGTTGTAGTAGCTTATACTGCTGTGTTCGTTCTGACTCCACTCAATCGGGTTCTACTTCTAAGTCCAGTCTCAAAAAGGACGTAACCTGTACGGGTTGGGTCCACAACGATACTAGAGTTAGTTTATTAGGTTTGGCTGGGCAGCGAAATAGGTGCAGCGTGTCTTGTGGACCTGTGCCACAAGCTGGGTAGATGTTCTGCACATCGCTGTCAATCTGGGCCCAATAGGAATTGAGGCGTCTGTCTCTGATTTTACATTAGATCCATGCCAACATAGACCTAAATTGATTAGACCTAAATTGACTAAATTTACCAGGGCATTTTCCTAACCGATAAGAGCTCGAAATATCAAATTATATCCAGATCTGAATTATATGAACATAAGGACTTAGAAAAGCTAACCTAAGACACAAGGAGAGGTTTGGCAAAAAAATAAGTGTGTTTTCCTCGATCGGTTTTTCTCATGACGTGGACCTTTTAAATGTCGAAAATCAGCGAGTACTTGTATATGGGAGCTAGACCAAAAATAGACCTGATTTTGAAATCATTTTCCCGGTCATTCCCAATAGATAAGTACTTGAAATAGTAAATTTCATCCAAATCTGATTTAACACCTAGTAACTTCAATAAACCTAGGAACCGAAAGAGAAATGAAAAAAATTCTCCTTTCTCCCTCCAACACTTCAAAATAGTATTTTTTTACTGAGAAAAAGTCAGAGTCAGTCTTCCCTCCTTAGAATGGTTTTAATACCTTAAAAGGAGTTAGGCCTTTTCCTGGAAGATTTCTTGAAAATCCCCAAAAATATTTTTTTTAAAAACGTATTTTTTATCCTTTTCCTTTCAGAATCCCCCATTACGAGCAGCGCTTGAAGAGCTTGCACTACAAAAAACGTTTCATGATTACCGTAAATGATTTAATACCAAGGATTACCAGTGTCATGGAAGCTTCCCGGGAGGTGGCTAGATCTAGGCGCCTGAGAAAATTACTGGAGTTGGTGCTGGCCTTGGGTAAGTTGACAAAATCAACGATTTGATAACGACCTTTACTAATTTCCTATCGCTTCCCAGGTAACTACATGAATCGTGGAGCCCGTGGCAATGCCTCCGGTTTCCGTTTGGCTTCCCTAAATCGCCTGGCCGACACCAAATCCAGCGCCGCCAAGGGCACAACTTTGCTACACTTTTTGGTACAAGTCATTGACAAGAAATTCCGTGATCTACTCAAATTAGAGGAGGATATACCACATGTACGCGAAGCTTCCAAGGTATCGTTGGGTGAAATGGACAAAGACATACAAATGCTAAGAACCGGTTTAGCCGATGTGGCGCGTGAAATTGAATTCCATCGTTCATCGGGTCCAGCCCAACAGGGAGATCGTTTCCTACCCGTCATGCGAGAATTCCATGCCCAGGCTTCGGTGCGTTTTGCCGAATTGGAAGATAAATTCCAGGATATGAAAACAAGATTTGATAGGGCCGTACGTTTGTTCGGTGAAGATGGTTCGGTTTTGCAACCGGATGAATTCTTTGGTATTTTCGATGCTTTCCTCACATCTTTTGCCGAGGCCAAGGCAGATAATGATAATTTGCGTAAACGTCAAGAGGAAGAGGAAAAACGGGCCAAACAGGATGCCGAGTTAAAGAAACGTACCATTGAACGTAAAAACAAGGAGGGCCTGATGTCTTCGGTGGCCAGAAATTTGGGTTTGAAGTCCTCGAATGGACCCACAAGCCCCGCCAAGGGGGATAATAAAGGGGAGTTTGATGATCTTATTTCTGCCCTGAGAACCGGCGATGTATTCGGTGAGGATATGGCCAAATTTAAGAGATCCCGTAAAACCCGTCTCAGCAATGGCAGTACTTCTCCACCCCGCCATGGAGTGCATCGAGAAGAAAGTCGAGAACGTACCGTTAGAAGACAGTGAAAGTTAGGTTAGATTTTTAAGAGAAAAACAAACAAACACACACACAGACACATACATCTCTTTGTTATTAAAATAATAAAATAAATTTTGTTAAATGATTGTATAAAAGAAAGATATTGAAAATTAATTGTAATTATGCAAATGATGATGATGGAAAAATGATTTTGTATGCAAAATAGGTTATTAATTTAATTTTAAGTAAAACAACAACAACAAGAATGCTAACATTCTTCTCTTTTTTATAAAAAAAAAAAACATATTTAAACTTAAAATAAAAATAAATAATAATTGTCTGTAATGAAAGCATTAAACCAAAATTATTTAAAAAAGAAAAAAACAAATGAAACTAAAAAATATATTTATCACACCCAAACACACACACTTTTGTATTAATAATACCCTAATCTTAGTTTGTAATTTGAAAAACACTGTTTGTATGTATGTATTCCTTCTTCTCGTTTGCTGTTCTGTTTTTGCATAAAAGAATGAAAATATATAACTCAATACTATTATTAAATTTATCTTCTAGAGAGCATATTAAGCCAACCAACAAACCACACAAACTAACAGCAAATTAAAACTAATTTGTAAATGTTAGATTAAGTTTATGAATATAATTGAAAAGAAATTAATATATAAATAAAAAAGCTATAATACATATTAGTTATAAATATAAAACACGATAAAACCGAAACACAATAAAATAAAAGTGAAAAATAAAGATTTCAAATTTGTTGTTAATTTGGGGGTGAAATTGTAACAAATCAAGATACTTTTCGGACGAAAGATTGAGTCACCATTTACCATTTTTTTATAAAGCAAGTAAAAAATCTGTAAGTTCGACCGGGCCGGACTTTGAATACCATTTGGAATGAATTTGACAATTCCAAAATTAAATAAATAAATAAAATCCGTCAAAAATTCTGTTAAAATCTTAAAAATTCCGAATGTAGCCGTTATATTAGGGACTATACGACGATGTGGACCAGGCAACTTTTGTCATAAGCCATTACAATATTCAAATGCGAAATTTACAAAAAAATCATCAAAATATAAAAAATATTAAATTAAAATTATATGAGTGCTATACGAAGACGTGGACCTGCACAGACAATTTTCTGTCATAGGCTGTTGTATCCATTACGAACTTCAAATACCAAATTTGAAACAATTTCGGTGAACAATGTCGCTAAAATCATCAAAATATCGAATATCGGAAGGTACGCTTATATGACCTGCACAGACAATTTTCGATCATAGGCTGTAGTATCCATTACGAACTTTAAATATGAAATTGGAAATAATTCCGGTAAATAATGTCGCTAAAATCGTCAAAATACCGAATATCGGGTGGTACCATTATATGGGGGCTATACCAAAACGTGGACCTGCAAAGATAATTTTCTGTCATAGGCTGTAGTATCTATTACGAACCTCAAATATCAAATTTGAAACAATTCCTATGAATAATGGCGCTAAAATCATCAAAATACCGAATATGGGGAGGTACAGTTATATGGGGGCTATACCAAATCGTAGACCGGTACAGACAATATTTTTGTCATAGGCTGCAGTATCGATTACGAACTTCAAATATGAAATTAGAAACGATTCCGGTGAATAATGTCCCTAAAATCATTAAAATACCGAATATCGGGAGGTATCATTATATGGGGGCTATACGAAGACGTGGATCTGCACAGACAATTTTTTGTCATAGGCTGTAGAATCCATTACGAAATTCAAATACCAAATTTGAAACATTTCCGGTGAATAATGTCCCTAGAATCTTCAAAATACCGAATATTGGGTCGTACCGTTATTGAGGGCTATACGAAGACGTGGCCCGGCATAGAAAATTTTCTGTTATAGGCTGTAGCATACATTATAAACTTCAAATGTCAAATTTAAAACAATTCCGGTGAATAATGTTGCTAAAATCATCAAAATACCGAATATAGGGAGGTATACCAAATCGTGGACATGCACAGACAATTTTCTGTCATAGGCTGTAGTATCCATTACGAACTCCAAATACCAAATTTGAAACAATTCCGGTGAATAATGTCCCTAAAATCATCAAAATGCCGAATATCGGGAGGTACCATTATATGAGGGCTATACGAAGACGTGGATCTGCACAGACAATTTTTTGTCGTAGGCTGTAGTATCCATTACGAACTTCAAATATCAAATTTGAAACAATTCCGGTTAATAGTATCGCTTAAATTACCAAAATACCGAATATCGGAAGGTACCATTATATGGGGGCTATACCAAAACGTGGGCCTAAATCGTCCATTTTCAATACCAAAAGTCCTGCAGATATAATATACATTTGAGTAAAATTTTATCAAACTACTTCATTCCGTTCGGAAGCTAGAGTGATTTCCACAGGCGGACGGAAATTGCAAAATCGGCATAGAATTTTATGCTGATCAAGAATATAAATACTTTGTGGGGTCTAAAATGTATATTCCGAGGTGTTTTAAACGGAATAACAAACTTAACATACCTACCCTCCATACTATGGTGGAGGGTATAAAAAGTAGCCATTCTGTAACTTTTCTATAGAAATTCTATTCCTGAAGGGAAATTTTTTACAAATAATTTTGAAAACAAAAACTTAAAAATAAAACTTTTGGAGATTAAAAATTCTTATAGAAAAATGGGAAGCGAAAAGGACCGTCAGTTTTTTCTGTTGAAATCGCTTCGCACTATTAAAGGTATAGCTTTGAAATTCTACATATTGAAAATATATTGGCCCATTAAGGATCGTTTATGTATAGCCCCATCAGCATTTCCCATTCTCGGTAAATAAGAATTAAACCACAAAATAATTTCAATTTTCATTATTCTTTTATTATTATTAATCCTTCTTCGAACACGATTCATACTCCTTGACAAGGCCACGATACAGCTTGCTTATTTTCGAATTCTGTTGACACAGTACCCCGCCACCGCGCACCAATTGATGTTGCTGGCGATTAATATCGCCCACACAAATCCAATTCGATGTGCTGCGAAAACGCCAACGCCAAAATTTCAAACCCACACTCTGTGACACCGCCCACTTCGAGTGATCCTGAGTGGTTTTGAAATCCAAGCCGAAATTTTCTTCTTCAATTTTCTGAATATTATAAACCTTATCGTTGCGCGTACAATTAGATTGTAAATTTCCGCCACCATTACGCCATGTTTCCACCAAAAGATTGGTATCCAAAGTGGGTGCCACAAAGTCTTCATACAGCTCTTGATTGAATTGACTGGATTTGGCAAAGGATTTAAAAGTTTTACCCTCAAGGGTAATAAGATTGAGAACATTGTTAAAAGGTTCCGTTTTTATCCAATCCTTTTGCAGTACTTTTTCGAAGGTGGGAAATTGCTCCATTAATTCCTTGGTTATTTTGTGGTGGTAAATATTGGGTTCATTGAAAAGTAATTGTTCGGCCACCTTTTCCATTTCACTGGCTGGCAAGGTCACGCATAAAAAGCTCTGTCCATAATGACAACCCGTTGAGGGGTATTCATATTTTGTGGTGTTTGGAAATTTCGGTACTGAGTGTATCAGCCATAACCCTGTTACTCCGTCACTGGCCACAACGCCCTTGGCATGGCCACCTGAAAATATAACTGTACCATTTGGAAATTCATCATTGTAGGCCAGCAATAATATGGAATCATTGGCAAATAAAGGTTCCAAAGTTAAGCCCGCCATTGAAGAAGATTCATTAATTTGCTTCGGCGATAAACTCCAATTGTCATAAGATTTACTGGTCATATATAAATAATTTAGTCCTGCACTATCTCGAGGCTTGGTGGAATTCTTGGCAGCATAGTGCATGGGTAATTTGTATAAATAAAACCTGGAATTCGAGAAAAATATAAATGAAATATTTGAAACTTTAATTATTGTATTCCACAATGCTCACCAGTCTACATCTTGACCCTTTTCATCCTTGCAAGATATTTTCGATTCTGTGCCATTTGGAATTAGAAATATTAGAAGCAACAAAAAAATATCCTTTATTTGTTTCAACATTGTTTATGCGTCTAACTGTTAGCACTGCACTAACAAAACTAAAGATAACTATTGAGAGTACGAAACAAGAAGCTAACAGCTATAATGTGCTCAGAATTGAGCGTATAGAATTACCACTGAAAGGGCATCGATGATAAGCAGCATTGAATTTCAATTCAACAAAAAAGCAGTGGGGGTGAAATATAATTTACATGTGTTTTCCGAAAGAGAGCAAGAGAGAGAGAGGCAGATCCTCTCCAATGTTATAAAGAGAAAAGGATACATTGTGAGTTATCATATCCTGTTCCTGATATGAAAATAAACCCAAATTTGCTGCATATTTCTTCAAAGATTGTTGCTGAATTGAGAGTTTCCAGTAGTAAAATTGCTATTCCCCCTAGAAATTTTACAGAATTTCGATTTTTTTCAAATGTGCACAAACCCTTCCCCCATTTCCCTGAGTAAAAAAAAAACACTTCAATACCACCAACAGTTTTTAGTACAAAACACAGTTTTATTATTTTCTAACAAATATTTGTTTCGATTTTTACTAAAACTACGCCAATATTTACATAAATATTTTCTTCTCACATCCTCCATTCTTATCTAACCTGCTGCTGTTGTTGCTGCTGTTTCATTTGAATTTTTCGTTTCAAATTTTTCACCAACAAAATATTTTCAATATTTTTCTTGGGTTTCTTGGCGCTGTCGGGTCCATCATTCTCAGCATTTCCATTTGCCGTTTTATTTACATCCCCCTCATTGTGCCTTCTTTTAAGCTTTTCATGGATCAATTGTTCCATACCCTTGGTCTTCTTAAAATGAGGATCGGTGGGATCAATATTAAATTCATGTGAAGTAAAAACGGCCTTGAAACGATTATCATTGACATTCAATTGGAAATTGTCTTCAATGGGTTTATTCGATTCCTCAATGTCTGCCTTGGATTTCTTTAGCTGCTTCTTGCGTTTCTTTTTCGATTTGGTTTCCTGCTCCTGTTTGAGTATCTTTTCCAGACTAAAGTGCTGTTTCTTGTGATCTTCTTCATTGTCATCTAGCAGCAATTCCAATTCCTTGGCATTCTTTTCATCTTCTTCCTCCTGCTCAGCCTTTAGCTGTCGTTGTTTCTTTTGTTTTTCTTTGCGCTTCGCCTTGGGATCAACAAAGTCGCCATTGGCAAATTCTTCGGCAAAGTAGGGGTCACTCATATCAATACCTTCCGGTAAGGAATCTAGATCAGATTCGGACTCCACTCCAGCAGCTTGTAATTTCTTTTTCTTTCGTTCTTCTTTGCGTCTCTTATTCTTTTCACTGCGTTTCAGCAGGACTTTTTCAATGGGTGTTAGCTCCGACTTAGGTTTGCCTTCAAATGTTTCTTCTTTATCCTTATCGTCTTCTTTGTTTTCATTGCCCTCATTAACCTCCCAAGTGAATTCCATGGCATATTTCTTTTTCTCCTTTTCTTTTTGTTCCTTTTCATTGATTTCTGCCAACAAGGCTTTATATTTGTTAATGACTTCCTCCTTTTTCTTGGATTTGGGCTTTTTACTTTTTTTCTCCACTGGTTTTTCTTCTTCGACTTGACTTTCTTCTGCATCATCTTCTTCTTCTTCGTCCGCTTCGCCATCACCTTCTTCCTCCTCCTCCTCCTCTTCACTGCTATAGGCAACAATTTTCCTTAAATCCTGATCGCTTATGCCATCCATTTTACCCGAAGACAATTTATCTCCCAGTTCTTTACGATCTACTGCCGTCTCATCCCAAGTCAAATCCACTTTGGCTTGTTGCAGGGCTGTGGTTGTAAATTGTCGCGGTTGATATGTATTCATGTCAGGCATTTCTAAACAAACATCGGTGGGTTCATCCTCATCGAATGTGGTGTCATCGGGTATATAACGTAAATCAATTTTTGTGGCTGAACTTTCGTATTCAATGCCATCACATTCCTTGTAGATTTTATCGGCCGATTCCACGCTGTCGAACTCCATTACAGCATAGTAGTAACGCAAACGATTCAGCTGATATTGACGCAACTTTTCCATGTGATATTCATCGCCTTCCTCGGCATCACTGTCCTGTTCCACTACCAATTCATCATCTTCATCATCACTACCAGAAGTTTTCTTCTTCTTTTTGGGTTTGTCGCTCTGAAATCAAAAACAAATATTTAAATTTGCTTTCAAATCACTTATCTCCAATTTACTTACCTCTTTTTTGGGATTTCTGGAATCCTTGTCTAGGCCCACCAATTCAGGGGGGCCATGTAGTTCCTCTTCCTTCATACGTTCCTTACCAAATTCTGATGGATATATCTTTATGCTCAATATGGAACCACCACGTGGCAAAAAGGAATTGAATAGAACCATTAAATCCACAGCCCTAACTCGATCCCAATCCATATTGCACACGGCCAAACGTCTGGTTGATTCATCGGTGGTATCGGCATCATTGTCTAATTCTCCCCACACATGATCTATATACATTTCCGGATCTTCATCATCCTCCGAAGAGTCATCATCAGATGAAGAATCAGTTATTAAACGTCCCTCTCCTCTGGCATAATCGATATTGGGATCCAATAGGCGATCCCTTAACGATTTGGGCATCTCTTCATCATCACTGGTTAAAGCATCATTTTCATCAACATCACTCTCTTGGATTATGGCCTTTTCCTCCTTTTCACGTTCTTCTTGCTCATCCTCTTCGGAATCATCCTTTTCCGATTCTTGGCCGCCAACCTTGTCTTCTTCCTCCTCTTCCTTTTCCTCATCATCGCTGGAGTTCAGTTCGTAGTATTTACGCAAATCATCGGCATTACTTCTATTGACCCGTCTGCCATACTTATCCACCGTATATTTCACTTGGAATTTATCATTTGTGAACATGCCCTCGAAACGTTTATCAATTTTAACTTTTCTCTGGACCTTTGGGAGGTTTTTAAAACGAGGATCCGTAACCAAGTGCTGGAAACGTTCATCCTGCCAAATTGCACTGTTGCCAGAGGCTGCTGGCTTCTCAACTCCATTTTGCTGAGATTTAGCTGCCTTTTCTTTTACTTTCTTCTTGTCTTTGGCCATGGTTTTCGGTGGAAAATATGTTTTTTAATTCGTTAACACTTTTAAACAAAACTCTTCACGTGCAATTGCTTCAGATGACAGAGCTTGATTTAACCCAACAGTAACGGCGGCAAAACAGAAAAACAAATCGTCTCTTCTTCTTATTTGAAGGTTTCCTTTGATTGATATCCAAAAACTAGAATAGGATACCATGGAGCAGCTTTTTAAACTACCGATTATTTAAAAGCATATATAGTTAAAGTTTGTAGTTCCTTATTACACAGAAAAAGTATTTCCACCCCAGAATCAGTGCATACTTCGAAAATGCAGTATTCTAACAATAGCGGCAAATAAAAAAAAATATTTCCTTCCTTTTTTTCTTGCAAAAACACATTGAAGTGATATCACACAGCACTCATATCGACCAAACTATCCCTAATTACAGCTGTTTAACCTCACTTTTTGACAGTTCTTGTTTGGGGATTGTGGGGCTTGTTGTAAAAATTTAATTTTCTTTGTATTTTTCGAATTGTTCAATAAAATTCTATTTTAATATTCACATTGACAATGTTAAGTGCGGTAAGACGTTGCTATAACCTAAAGCCACAAGTTCCCCGGGTCAGATATCTATGCAGCACGACTGTGCCGGCGGGATCCAAAGGTAAGTTCCATGTTTTGTTTGTAATTGTAAAAATTCCAATAACAACCCCTTTCCTTGTCTCCATTACAGTTTCCGCACATTCATTTGAGGATTTTGTACACAAACGTCAAGAGGAGGCAACACGCAGTGTCATTGTACAAGTCAGTTCGGAAAGATCATTTCCAGAGTTATACAACTATTGCCGAGATTATGGCAACATAATATCAGCCTTTCACTACTGTGTGCGACACGATGATGTCCAGCATTATATCTTATTGGAATATGAAAATGCCCAACAAGCCTCGGAGGCCATAGACTCGGCCGCATATAATGAAGATTTGACGGGTGTGCCAGTGCGATCACCTTTCCTATGGTTTAGGGCCACGGGACGTAAGACAATACAACGAGACACTGTGTCGGGTTCGAAAACCCAATTAGCCGCCCTGGATGGCATACGAATAATGGACAACGAAGCACTGATGGGTACTCTGCGAGAAGCCGTGGATATTGAAAAACAAATAGCTTTATTATATGAAAATACCAAATTAAATGATTTGGGAATCCGTTTACGGTTCTTGGCTGCCTCACAAGTCCAACAGGCCATATCCGGTATGTTCCCATTGGCCAGAGCTTTACCGTTTGGTTCGTCGGTAAATGGTTTTGGTAAAAATGGCTGTGATTTAGATTTAATTTTACGTCTGGACGAAGAATGTAAGGGACCTGATAGCAAAAAACGACCTGAGTCGCGTTTGGTCTTTCACACCAAGGAAAATTTGACGAATGGTCGATCGCAGACGCAACGACAAATGGAAAGTATTGGTGATATGTTGCATTTATTCTTGCCGGGTGTGTGTCATGTGAGAAGGATCCTGCAGGCACGAGTTCCCATTATAAAGTATCATCATGAGCATTTGAATTTGGAAATTGATCTGTCGATGAGCAATCTGTGAGTAGAAAAGGATTTTTTATTATTATTTCTTGTTGCATACTTTAAGGAGGGAGGAAAAAATGTTTGTGTTTAAAGAGGTACGCAATGAATGGGAAAGTAGAAGTGTAGAAAATTGCCAAAGTGTTGGGTAAAATCATGAAGAAAAAATATTTAAAAATGTCCTGATTTCTTTCAACAGTTTGAACAAATAGTTCGGTTTTCAAGAAATACGTTATTATTCGTCAGTTTATTCCTAAGAAAGTGGAGTAATATTTCCTTAACAAAATTACACTTTCTGCTCGTTTTTTTAATCTTTGACTTTTTCCTGAATTGGGAAATATATTTGTCAACGACAATATTTTTTAGAGCACCTTTTGCACTATTTTGTTTTGGGTCTTTGAATTTCAAATCACAATTGTGTTCATGGATAACAAATTTAGTGTGACCACTTGGCTTAATTTGAAAAAATCCATAACTGTTTGATGTTAGTCCAGTCCTTTCAAAAATAGTCCTCAAAGTTCAGCCTTCATTTTTCTCTAACAAATTTTCTCTAAATAAGGCCCCCCGCTCCTCCCTTATTGTTTTTTTATGAATGAACCTTTTCTGATCCCACACTACCCTTTCCCATTTTAAAATCAAAATCCTTTCTAGTTTTCTTTATTCTTCTCAATGCTGAGAAGAAATTTTGTATTTTATTTCTTTTTTTGTTTTATTAAATTTATTTAAAAATATATTTTTCAAACTTAGTGCAAATATTTGTAAAAAATATATTAACTTAGATGATAGTATGTGGTAAAAACAAGTTTTGTATGGTATTTTATGAAAACATTTAAAATAATTTGTGTTGCATCGTCTTATTTGCTGGTGGAAAACTCCTAACGAGAGAGCTGATATTGCATTTAACGTCTATAGGCTTGTACTTCTTCCTCTTCCTTCTTTACGGCTTGTACCAAAACCAAACTCATAACAGCGCTGATAACATTCAGCATTGCCAAACCAAGAGCAATTGCCACAATCCATGATGTTTTGGCTTCAAAGAACCAGGTCAGCTCATCGACACAACCATTGAAGAAGGCATTGCCACTGACGGTGTCACGACACGAGCTTGGCAATGGTTGTCTCAAATTCAAATAATCCCAGGGACCACTGGCACCGCAACATCCCACATTTTCTTGGATCATATTCAGCACATACGAGGAGTAGGGTTGTTCCGAAGTACTTACAAAATTGCTGAGGCTAGTTTGCAACAGCGGCTGCAGGCTAGAATGCATTGTACTGTATTGCATTAGAAGTGCCGAACCAACTATTGAAATGAGAAAACCAAAGATTTGGGTGCCAATAAACACGAACAGGGCCAAAGTGTTTTCCATCAGGGCCGATAGGCAACCCAAAAAGCTCACAGCCATCATAATAATACTGATGGCAATCAGTATGTAGACACCAATGTAAAAAGCTTCAGCTTGTAGAATCTTCAACCATTCATTGAAACCGGGTTCAGCTCTCAGCCAGACTGTCAGGGCAAACAGTGATGTGGCCAACATCCAGGCAACAATATTGAAACAGAATAGTGTGTATTTAACACAACCGATTTGTTTTTCCAAAGTATTTTCGGTGGTAGCCATATTGCTCGGGGGGAGGTCAAGCGGTATATTACAGGGCAGATGATGGGGAAATTACCTAAATGGGAAAATAGAAGGTAAAGGTATTATTTATAAAGTTTTGCAATAGTTTTTAAATACTTTTTTAGATGGAAATGTATTTATTTATTTTCAATTTGTACAGTAACCTAGCCCAAAGGGCCATGGACGGTTCCAAAAACATCTATACATGACTACTTCAAATTAATTATAATATCCTTAATCTTAAAGTCTTAAAAAATCATTTTATAATTGTTGCAGAATTCCCATTTATAAATCCGATAAAAACGCCAACTTGTTAGGCAGTTTACTTTAAGGCTTTAGTGAAGTTTTCTTAAAGAGCTCCCTCTTATTTTCAAATATTTTCAAGATTAATCCATATTTTCTGATTTGGTTGTAATTTGTTTTCCAAATATTTGATACAGGCCCTTAGAAATGTGTGCGATACTTATCCATATTAAAGAACCTTCAGACTTCCTACCGTTTGGCAATTTGTTATTATTTTTAAACTGAGATTTAAATTTTCGATTTTTCGGGTTTCAAGAGAATACAATTGTTAAAGCATAGGATAAGATTTTGAAACGTACACCTTCATTACCCCTTTTAAATATGTCCTTTCCTGGCTTCCACTCTTGGAGTATATATTTATAAATCAGCCCATATAAAAAACGTTTTCCTAAAAAATAAAATTCTTAAAGCAAATAAAAGCCTGTATATTTCATAGGATAAGATTTTAAAATAGAAACGTACACCTTCAATTCCCCTCTGTAAATATGTCCTTTCCTGGCCTCCACTCTCGGAATATATATTTATAAATTAGCCCATATAAAAAAACTTAAAGAACGTAACGATTTGCAGATATTTTTTCCTAAAAATAAAATTCTTAAAGCAAATAAAAGGCTGTATATTTCATAGGATAAGATTTTAAAATAGGAACGTACACCTTCGATTCCCCTTTGTAAATGTGTCCTTTCCAGGCTTCCACTCTTGGAATATATATTTATAAATTAGCCAACATTTAAAACACTTAAAGAACATAGCGAATTGCCGATTTTTTTCTCCTTGCTAGGAACAGAAGTATTTCCTATAAACTATAACGCTCATATATCTAACTCCCAACCTTGGAATATTTATTTATAAATTAGCCCATATCAAAATCTTAAAGAACATAGCGAGTTGCAGATTTTTTTCTCCTTGCTAGGAACTAGGAAATATTTCCTATAAACTGCATTGCTCATATACCTAATTCCGTTATACCACACCCCTTTTTTGGAGCTTAGATTTTGTTGGCTTGTTTATATCCAAAACCTTTCGCCTTCTTCGAAAGAAGTGATTTTGAAATCAATTTTTTTACATGAAATCCCAATTAGATGTAAAAATCCTTATCACACATCCCTTCCCTACTCTCTTCATCCTTTGGACTAATATCGTACCTCCAAATTTAGTAGAATTTCTAAACCTATTATTGATTAATACATCACTCTCGTATTTTTCAATTACCAAAACGGCTTTGACTCATCGACATTCCTCTATTGTTTTATTTTTCTTTTCGTTATATTTGCTTAAATGTGTAACCATTACAATGATGAGCTGTACAAATGGGCCTTTTTTATCAGTAATCGTTTAGCAAATAAACCTTATCGCCTTGGGCGCTCAACCTGTTGCTGTGATCGTGGCGATGATTAACACACAAATTGTGGTGCAACACTTTTCAATGTTTTTTTTTTTTTTTTGTTCGGAAAAAGATAACAATTTATGTTTTCAAAAAGAAAACCAAAAAAGAATGTGGGTAATTGTTGAATACAGGGTTTCATTGTTAACATAACTTCAAGACGAATTTCGTTTCCAATTGATGAACTAATATTTTATTAATAGCCCGATTTTTTCGGTTACGGGTTGGATTTGTAATCACAAAATATTGTTTAATTGGGCGGGTTTTATAACCAATTTTTAAAACTTTTTTTTCTTGGATTTACAGAAAAATTAAATATTTGGGAGGTGTTTTCCAAGGAAATATTATCTTTTTTATAAGTTTTATTTTGTTAATTTATTTCCAAAACTTTGGCTTCAGATTTGCTTAAGGAATTGAATTTTCTGGGTCAAATTCAAGATTTGTAATTATTTTATATTTTTTTCTGAGAATCTTTTTTTATAGGCTTTTAATAATTTAGTTTCGTCATTTTTAATTTGTTCACAATTTTCAGTTTTTCTTTTTTTTATTTTTTATTTTTTTGTTTATATTTCTCTTCCTATTTTTTTATATTTTTGTTCACCTTTTTTTTCAAAGAAAATTATTTTGGAATTTTTAAAAACTCCCAGCCGCAATTTTTTCTATCCGTACGTATTTTGTTCGTTCGCAGTTCGTTTAAAGTAGATTTTTCGTTTGGTCTGTTCGAATGTGGCCAAGAAAAACTTTGATGATGGCATGGCTAGGGTGTTGTATCAGTTTTTTTTTTCATTCTTTCTTTCTTTCAGGTATTCAGCAGAGCTTTACGTTTCATTGCGATAAGATAAGGCTACTAGATATGAGTATGTGGAGCTCTAGGCGCGATAAGATAAATAGCATTGCTAAATTACAAATAATTTACAAAAACAAAACACAAGATAGATCTTTTACAGAATGAGAAGTGGGGTGGGGTAGAGGAAGATAACAAAATACCTTACAAAGGCCATAATTTTTTTTGTCAGCCCAATAATGACCACTGACTGATTCATTTCCGTTGAGGAACTTAATCTGTATTTCGTATTTGTTTTTATCAAAGAATATACCCTTACTCACCTCTCATCTTCTCTTTGTTTCAGCTCCGGTTTCTATATGTCTGAATTGTTATTTATGTTCGGTGAATTTGATGAGCGCGTACGACCACTAATATTCTGCATTCGACGCTGGGCCCAGTCTTGTGGCCTTACCAATCCCTCACCGGGTCGTTGGATTTCGAATTTCTCCCTAACATGTTTGGTCATATTTTTCCTACAACAAACCAAACAACCCATATTGCCCTCCATCAACACCCTCATACGTTCAGCTGCCCCAGAGGATGTTCGCATCACAGAGGATGGCATAAATTGCACATTTGCCCGCAACTTCGAGGCCATTGGGTTTAGCAGTAAAAACAGCAACAAAATCAGCGATTTACTTTTACAATTTTTTGAATTCTATTCTCAATTTGACTTTCAAAACAAGGCGATATCCTTGAATGAGGGACGGGCTGTATCCAAACCCGACCACTCGGCATTGTATATTGTCAATCCTCTGGAACAACTGCTAAATGTTAGTAAAAATGTCAGTCTCGAGGAATGTGAACGTTTGAGAATAGAGGTACGAAATGCTGCCTGGGTTTTGGAATCAGAAGTGGAAAACTATCAGCAAACCGGGGTGGATAAGAGCCAAGAACCCTGGGGTCTGCTGAATCTTTTTAAGACACCCGACAAAAACATCATACGGCCGAATATGTTCTTTAAGCCACGCATCTTGGAAGTCAGTGAGCTATTTGATAACACGGAAACACCGCCTGCCACAAAATCCACCTCCAGCAACACTGCCACGGCAACAGGATTGGTTTTTAAAAACACCCAAGTAAAACAACAAGTGGAAAGTATTAAATCCTCACAACGACAAGACATGAAACAAATGCGTTTGAATTCCACAACAGGGGTGCAGGCATCGTCGACAAAATCGCCATCAGCAGCAGGCTCAGTGGCCTCAAATAAATCCTCCAAACGCAGCAGATGAAAATGAACACAGCAAATGTGTTGAAACATCCACAACTGCCTGGTGCGTAGTAAGGAGACTTGATTAGATTAATAATCTTTTATTTAGTTAATAAGAAAATACAAATGTTTGTTTTTGTAGATTTGTAAGTTATTTCCCCAAAATGAGCGGCACAGAAATGCAAATCCCAAGTAAACCAAAATCAAAGAGACTTTTGTTAAAATGTTATTGTTTTTTTTATGGAAGGAAATAATGAAAAAATAATTAATTGAAAAACAAATAAATGAGAATAAATGATGACGTATTTGAAAAGCGGCGTTTTAATGGATGGAAGGATAATTCAATTATCAAAGCATACTTTCAGGCGAAATAAATTCATAGCACAATAAAACAGATAAGGGTTTCTCAACTGGATTTAAAAAAATGAAGCTTGCATCTGAACAGAAATCGAGAATTTTTGAGTTTTTTACAGGGGGGACACCTTCCTGCAATATCTTCTTGCCTTTCCTAATGCAACTCTTTCCCAAGCTCGTATTGATTATCCTACTTTAAGCATTCCATCAGTCCACTCAATTAGGATAGTGGGAATTCTAGGGGCAAAGAGAGCATAATGGATCGACTCCCGTTTCACACATTGTTAAAAGCTCAATCTGTATCGAGAGAAGTCGCCATAAAAAATGTTGAGTTTTCCATATTTTTCTCAATGTGTCCGACAACTACTGAACACGATAACTCTCCAAGGGAGTATCCGATTTGATCCAAAATTAGTAAATTGGTACATCGTAATATTATTGCCGAACGCATAAAAAAAGCCAAAATTTTCAAAAAAAAAAAAAATATTTCACTGCACAGAAAGAAAAAGGATAATCATAATTCGCTCCAACTTTACGCATCCTAATATTTGCATCAGTGCTAGGTCAGGTGCGAAAATGGACAATACCGGTTCACTCCATCAAGTACCTCCCCCACAAAGGGTCAATATTTGGAATAATAATAACTTTTATAAAATGTGATGTAAGAGTCAGATTGTCTTCAAACTATACACATCACAATATTTTTATTAACCCAAGATCTGGTGTGAAGATGGAATACATCGGCCCACTCCTTCTGGTATTTCCCTCACAAAGGGTCAAGATTTTGAATATTCATAAAGCTCATAAAACATGAAATTAACATCCGATTCCATTTAGAATCGACACTTCTTAATGCTTCTATCAACACTGGATCTGTTAAAAAGATTGTAGATATCGGATCATTTTTTCTGGTACGTCGCCCATAAAGAGTTAAATTTTTGAATAACCAGTAAAAATTATAAAATCTGAAATAAGCATCCGGTTCTCTTAATATTTCACACATCCCATTATTTTTACTAACACATGATCTGCTGTGAAGATAAAATACATCGGTCCACTCCTTACGGTACTTCCCCCACAAAGGTTCAACATTTTGAATATTCATGAAGCTCATAAAACACGAATTTTACATCCGATTTCATTCAGACATGGTACATCTCAATATTTCCATCAACACAATATCTGTTATAAAGAAGGTAGAGATCGGAGCATTTCTTCCGATACCTCCCTCACAAGGGGTTAACATTTTGAATAACCAAAACGATTATAAAATCCGAAATAAGCATTCGGTTCTTTTCAAATTACACACATTACAATATTTTTACTAACCCAAGATCTGGTGTGAAGATGGGATAAATCGGTCCACTCCTTCTGGTACCTCACCCACTAAGGGTCAACATTTTGAATAACCAATAAATATTATAAAATCTGAAATAAACATCCGAATCTCTTCATATTTCACACATCCCATTATTTTTACTAACCCAAGATCTGCTGTGAAGATGAGATATATAGGTCCACTCCTTCTGGTACCTCCCCCACAAAGGGTCAAAATTTCGATTATCCATAAAGCTGATAAAACACGAAATTAAGATCCGATTCCATTCAAACTTGGCACATCTCAATATTTCCATCAACACCAGATCTGTTATAAAGATGGTAAAGATCGGACCATTTATTCTGGTATCTCCTCCACATAGGGTTCAAGATTTGAAAAACAAAACACTCAAAGAAAGCGAAATAAGCATCCATTGATGTAAAGGCTTACATATAACCTTGGGGTAGCTTATTATCCTTTCCACAAGTCTCTCATTTTCCGCTGTCAATGTGGGGAAGGTGCTGGTTATTGCTCACAACCACCTGCAGGTCTGCTTTATAGGCGTTCCAATGAGAGCTATGTTACGTTTTGTTAGCCCTGTTAAAAGGCTGATTTTCGAGAAATAGCAAGTCCCTCACACTTTGAGGCAGATCATGTTTGGCTTTTAAAGGAAATTATGGAGAGGGCATTTAAAACGAAATTCTTAATTTTTAAAAATTTTTATCACAAGTCAAAATTTCTGTGATTTAAAAAGACGAAGATTTCATTTCTTTTAGAGAAATAACTTCAGTTTAAGGCAAAGTTGAGAAGCATGATGCTGTATAACTATTCTCGACATTAGGATAATACATTATAGTCTTAAGGATTCCTTTATATTGTTTTTAATTGTCATCTTATTGATAAAAAAAGACTCAATAAAATATAACTTAACTTAAGGCAAAGTTGAACAAAAATTCAATAGCATACCTTATGGCGTTTTTTTGGTCTTCCTTAATTTTTATTAGTTTTTTTTAATAAAACACCATTTTATTTTTGTATTTTTTGAATATATATGGATTTTCACTTGTTCTGCTTGTTTTTAATTTTAACTTTATTTACATTTGATTTGAAAATATAAATTATCAGAGTTTTCATTTCGTTTGTGTTTTTTTGTATAATTAGAACTCATATCAACTTAAACTTAATTAGACATATATAACCATAACTGTGTATTTTTTAATTTTTTTGTTTCCTTTTTTTTCATAAACAATAAATTTTCGAAATTTTCAAATTCTTTTTTCAACGAAAAATATTTGAGGAAATTAATATTTTTGGTATAGTGTAAATGAGTGACAAGGAGGAAAAATGAAAAAAGGACAACTACGGTAAATGCTTCCTCCTCGGTTTCTAAACTTTATACTATACCAAAAACAACAAAACAAAATATATGAATTAGAATAAATTACGCATGTATACAAGTGATGATGGGGGGTTTCCTGTTCAATAAACTACATGCTATATGCTGATTCCTTATTAGTTAGTATTAGTTTGTTGGTTTATTTTTTTTTTTTTTATATTCTAATTAGGGATGGTAATTGGTTTTGTAGTTGTTAAGGCTTTGAATAGTGAAGCTCAAACCTTCAGTTAAGTTACGGTTTTGTTTCCGGTTAGAATAAGAATTCAGACAAAAGAACCCACCAAGAATACGAAAAATAGTTTTGCTTCATTAAGACACTTGGCTTTGTTATTCGACATTTGCAGTGGAAAAAAGAGCCACATTTAGTTAGACACTACAAAGAAAAGGAATAACACACACAGACACACAAATATTGAATTTGTTATTATATTTTTTTTTTGTTTTGTACAGCTTAGCTTGCCATGGCCAATTGGTTTAATTGCTTTTTCATACTCATTATTAACAAGAAAAACCATTAAATATTTCACATAATTTTTGGGATTCTCTTGCAAATTGTTTCCAGCCTACAAATTATACACAGAATTTAAAACTAACAAAAACTTGTTTTGGTTTTAAGAAATAAATTTTAAATTATTTTTTACATTAAAAAGAAAAAAGAAATAAAACAGTTGATTTTGTTTTTTAGAAAAAAGAATAATTTAGAAAGTTAGGAAGAATAGATATTTAAATTTTCTAATTAAATGTTTTTTTTTTTTGTTTTTGTGCTACATAATATGTATTGTTGTTGTCGGTTTTTCATTTCATTTTTTTGTTCCAGTTTGATTTTGTTTCAACAATGTAAAGAAAAAAGTGAGAGTCCTTCTTTTTATTTTTAAAGTACAATAGTTTATTATTTTACGCCGCATCATTACTGATGGCTGGTGGTGGTGTTGGTTGTTATATGGTTGATTTTTGTTGCTGTTGTATTGCATTGTTAGCAAAGGTTGTTAGTTGTAATTTAATAGTTTACAAACATAATGTATTATTTATATATTGTTGTTGGGTTTTTTGTTCATTTCTTTTTGTTGTTATAAATAATCTCATCTAAACCAAAGTTTGAGACGCAATGCATCGACACCATTTAAGTAATAACGAAACAGACGTTTATCTCGTACAAAACCCAAATTTTCATACAGACGCAATGCAGGTAGATTACTCATTTCAGTTTCCAAAACAACTTCGTCGGCATTGTCGGCTAGCATGGCCTGTAAAAAAAAAACAAAGAGAAGAGGAAATTAATATCAAAAGAATTTTGAAATTCCTTCGAGGCCTACTAAAGGTTTTCATATGTAGAACGGATTCTTATGGTTTACAGCTCTTTAAAGGTCCTTCACATCTTGGAGAGAAATCCTTTTGTAAGGCCCCTACAGATGAAGGCCATTCAAGAATCATATTTCCATTGGATTTTCATGTATGTTCCATTTAAAGAATATCTTTATTGACAACTCCGAGAATACATAGAAGTTCTTTTTTAAGGACTCTATACATAGATGAAAATCCTTTCGAGACCATTTTTCTATAGAAGCATTTTTTAAGATCCCTTTGTACATAGAAGACTTCATCTACTTTTCTATACATAGAAAGAAGACTAAATTATAGGCTTCTCGTTGTATAACTTACCTCAATTGCCTTTTGCACTAATGTAGTACCAATTTTTAATTTCCTATATTCTTTGCGTACAGCCAACATGGCAATATAGCCACGTCTAACATTCATGTGCATGTCCAGCTTGCACACAATAGCACCAACGTATTCATTTCCATGGGCTGCCAGGAAACATAGTTTTGGCCAATTATAAATGAAATAACGATAAGTGTATATTGAATATGGTTCGGATAGCTCAGCTTGGATTAAACGCATTATGTCCTAAAAAAGAAACATAAATAATGTTTTAGTAGATATTTATTTATTTATTTATTTATTTAATTCATACTTAATACTAAAGCCTCCAAGGCCAATTAATTGTATTAATAAGGTACTCAATACCAAGTAGAAAAAATAAAAATAACTTATAAAAAACTATCACATTATTTAAAATCAAGATATAAAAGGCTCCCCAGCCAAAACTACAGAAAGAAAATCAAAAGTAAAAAAATGAATCAATAGGGGCATCATAACCAACAACAAGCAAATAATTTTTTTTTTTTTTTTTTTTTTTAAGGAAGGTAACCATAAATTTGACTATAAAGAAAATTAAACCATTAAAAAAGGGTAAAACGAAGATAATAAAAGCTCAAAACAACGAAACTAAATGGGATGAATACCAGGATACAGGACATGATTCAAAACTTTTAAACGAAAGGCATTATTAGAATGGGAAAAAATTCTAAGCTCAATAGGTAGATAATTCCACAAACGTGCAATACGTACAACAAAGGACTTTTCAAATGTTAAGTTATTTATTCTGGGTATTAATATCTGAGTACTCCTGGTTGACCTGGAAAAACTGAACATGTTAGCCAGAAACCTAGGAACTCCACCTCTGATTGTTTTGTAAAAATAATGCAATAACTTAACGGATAAAAATTGTTCAAAAGAAACTCCCAAGAAATCTATAACAAAATTTGAGATGTGATCACGTCTCTTCAAACAATACACAAATCTCACGATAGCATTAACTATACGCTTAACTCTTAAACAAAAACTATTTATCGTACCAGATACCAATTCAAGCCCATAATTAATATGAGGCATTAAAAGAGCATTCGCCAACCTCTTTTTAACCCACAAAGGTAAAAATAAATTGGTGCCATATAATCTGCGAATAATAGCAAAAACTCTCCTCTGAACGGAACCGATATGAGTCTCAAAAGAAAGTTTCTCATCTACCAAAATACCCAACATTCTATGACAGCTTACAAAACTAATGAGATTACCATCAAGAGCAATATTGAGATTATATGCATGACTGCCAAACTTAAGAGCCTTTGTCTTTGACGGATTCAAAACCAGAGAATTTTCAAAACACCACTGTCCAATATGAACAAGACAATTATTAATTTCGCTTTCAAAAGCAATAGGGTTAATATAAGAATTAGTAAAAACGAGAAACACATCATCCGCATATAAGAGAGGAGTGCAATTCTCACCATAACAACACTCAGAAAGGCTATTGACATATAAAATGAAAAACAAAGGGCCTAATACAGAGCCCTGCGGAACACCGCACGAAAGCAGTGACACACTTGAAGATCTATCATTGTAGTAAACGAATTGGGATCTACCGGACAAATATGATAGAATAAGGTTACAAGCTGTCTCAGAAAAATCGAACTCATACATCAGTTTCCAGAGTAATATTTGATGAGAAAGAGAATCAAATGCCCTTGTTAGATCCAACGAAACAACTACAGTATCTTTTTTAAGATTCGAGTTATATCTCACTAAGTCAGTTAAGTACAGAAGCAAACTGGTGGTATTATGATTCCTACGGAATGCAATAGTTCAAAGAAATCTATAAATATACTCACATGCATTTGCAATTCGGATTCATATTCCTTGTACTCAATATGAACATTAGACAAATCCAAAGCGGGCACGGGATCTAGCACAGCGGATGGCGTTGCAGATGTGGGTGATGCTGTTGTGTCAGCAATAGCACTGGAGGAATTTTTATCGTCATTCGCCGACGTTTTAGTTTGTTCGCTTATTTGGGCTTTTGGGTTGGTCATGGCAGTGTTGTTACAGGTAGTCACATTCACACTTGTAACATTTGTTGCAGGGGCAGGGACATTACCATTTTGTAAATGTTCATTCTCGTCCTCACCACCATCCGCATGGTGGCATGCAGCCTTTGAATGACAATCCCCATTTTCCCTTTTTATGGGCTCTGTTGTTGCCACTAAATCTGTGCTGCTAGGATTCTTCTTATTATTAGGTTTTCTTTTAGATTTTTTGCTAGTAGTCAGACTTATGTCGTCACCTTCTTTGTGATGGCCATTTAAAGTTGGTGGCTCCGCGGGAGTACTATTGTTGCAGTTATTACTATTTAATCCTCTATCGGTTACAAGGCCATTGACCTTAGGTGTACCAGCTATGTGTAGCTGTTGCTTTAGCTGATCTTTTAAGCCGTTTATGTCCGCCACCAAACCCATTTGCGACAATTGGTCTTCATCAGTCGTCGTCGTTTCATTTCTGGAGCTCTTCTTTTTATTTTTAGATTTTTTCTTTGACTGCTGTTGTTGTTGCTGCTGCTGCTGCACCGTGCAATTTTCCAACTTAACTTCTTCCATTTTTCTAGCTATAGAACTTATCACATTATAAAATAAACCTTTTCATTATTACAGAATATGAGACTTGCCCGAAAATAATTTCCTAGTTTTGTATCCTTCTAAATGACAGCAGGCAGTTCTCTCCCAGCTCTTTTAGAAGGCAATGAACAAATAAAAAAAAAATATGACAATTCGTTCGTACACACACACGCACTCTCCTATTTGGTTGTGGGGTTTTTCTTTCTTGTAATTCTCGATGATAAATATGCACTCTCACATGTTTTCCAGTGGCTTTCGCGTTTAATTGTGGGAAAATGGAAAAGCCTTCAAATCAGGAAATTCGAATATTTTTCCAATCTTCGTTGGTTTTATGTGTTTCTTACGTGATTTTTTTCTACTCAAAAATGATTTTGCACGGATAAATTTTTTTATATATCAATCAATGAAAGAGAACATATGTTGGGTTGCACCATTGCCAGCGACGTATGTCATAAGGCACGGGGAAGGGACAAAAAGATGAAAATAAATGAATGGAAGTAGTAGTTTTTGTTGTTCTGCTGGAAAAAAATTAATAAAAACAGTAATATATGTTAATATTTTTTCGTAAATGTCCCATTTAGTTTGTTATGTTTAAATAAAATGAGTTGTTGTCACATTTTTCCGTTGTCATTAAAGAGTGTAGCCAGAAATACAACTGTTAACTCTCGATTAGTAGAAGACGTAACGTAGTACTGCAATCAGCTGATTGACACAAATGAATTACTTGAACGTTTAATATTTGATTTCGAAAGCGATTTAAAAGTTTAAAAAAACATCATTAAAGGGTCTATATTGCATAAAAAAGAGGAATAAAAGCAAGAATAAGAGACGAGGCAATTATACGTTCTTACAATTTAGTCAATATGAAATGGAGACGTAACTTTACACTAATTAGTCATTCGCGAGCTCGGACAAGAAATTTTAGTCGTGATGGATTGGAAGAAAATTAATATTTGCAATAAAGTCTAATACATTAAGGTACGTACTGGAAAAAATTAAATAACGTTTATAATTTTTATAAAGATTCTATTTTTCTTTTCCGGTTTGGTCTGAGATATTTGCTTACTATATTTTTTATCGGACCCAGATACTCTCTGTAGAAATGGCTTATGGCTAGAAATATGCCAGAATACCTCAGCTATAAAATGGAAAAGGAGAGACCAATAGCTAAACATAATAACGAGTACTTGTTATGTACTCAGTAAAGCGGCAATGGATTAAAAAATATAACCTAGATTTTAAAAGTTGTTGAATTATAGCTGCCGTTGGGTGGAAAATGCGGCAAAACTAGGTTTCTAGTTGATAGATAGCATTCAATATTCAAGTAGGACTCCATATTCAACTAGGTGGTTGTTTCATTATAGCAGCAGTCGAGTGGAAAATGCGAGACAACTAAGCCTTTGAGTGGAAAATGCGGGACAACTAGGCTTCTAGTTGATAGGTAGTATTCAATATTCAACTAGATTTCTATATTCAACTATGATATGGTCAAAGTTGTTCCATTATGGCAGCAGTTGAGTGGAAAATGCGAGACAACTAAGTCTTTCGTTGTTAGATACCTTTCATTAATTACATGGCCTATTCAAATACGTTCGCTTCATGATTAAGAATAATGTATTTATCATTTCGTTAAATTATATAATTTATTTATTTAATATTATTTAGTATTAATTTTTTTTTGTGTTACAAAATTTTATGCAATTCATGTAAAAGAGTTTGCCAGAAAATTTCCTGTCCAAACAACTTTAATTTGTAATGTAATGTCGTTGACATGTTTTCTCTGGCGTAACCTGTAATAAATTAAGATTTAAATAAATTGAGCCAGATTTAGTTAAATTGATCGAAGTCATACTAATAATATGATTGCTAAAATGCTTGCAGGATATTTGCTAACTGGGCGTTGTGCATAACAAATATCTGCCCAGTATTTAAAGTTGAAAGAAGTCTGTGATTAGTGTTTGGTCTTTTGTTGGAGTTAACTAAAAGGTAGTTTTAAAAAGTGATTGATTGCAAATACAGTATCAGGGTAAAATATTGGGACTGTACATGATATAAAAGGATCTTTATCAAATATATTCAAATGAATCAAAACAAAAAATATTTTTATTTATAAATATAAACCGTATTTTATTCGTTATGTTTTAAATATTATTTAGACATTTTTATTAAATACAATTTTTTACAAATATTTTGTAAAAGAATATTTTTCAATTCTTAGATATTTTTATAAAACAACTTCTATATGGCTCTTATTTGTAAATACTAAACATATTTTTAAGAATATTCATTACGTTTTACAAAAATTATTTGAACCTTTAACACTGATAACCCCCCGCTAAAAAGCCATTTTTATGTTTCCGATAGCCTTTCAAAAAACATTTCCATTTGTATTTCTTCTCTTTTCCAATTAATATTTCCCAAAAGGCATCAAATATTTTACTTCGACTTTTTTCACTTGATTTGAAAAATTATGCACTTAAATATTTCTGAAATCACTTGTTCAACAACGCCTTATCTTTATTACCTAATATGCTGATATACATATATGTGTATATTGAAATATGTATTTAGGTATGTGTGAATAAAATAGAGTTGCTACTTTTTTTTGCGTAAAAGAAAATAAGAAATGATTTCATATTCGCCACAGCCCCTCCAAACAATGATGGAGGCATGCTAACACTTCATTTGCAAGTGATTGCACGCCACGGCAATGCCCGGTGGTAAAAAAGCTGTAAAGAAAAAATATAACTCTACTAAAAAATAATAATAATATCCATGTGATATATACCCTGGAAATATATATTTCCCCGGGAATCTAATAAAGATTAAAAGTCTTAAGGTGAGAATACATAAAACGTTTTTATGACCGGCTTAAGTCATTGGCTGACTTCTTCTTATATGAAGAAAGGAGTTTTAGGTTGACTTAGATCGATATTGGCCCTACGCTTTTTTGCACTTTTCTGAAGAAGCCAGCCAATGATTTAAGCCAGCCAAAAAAGTATTCTCACCTTTAGGCTTAATTTATATACTACCCTTACAATTTCTTGGGTTCTTTTCAATTTTTCCCACTGGGTATTTCATTTGATTAATAGAAAAAAACTCAACATTTATTAAATGCATCTCCTGCAATTGCCTGCTACGTTGATATGTGTTGGAATGGTTGCAAGTGAGGTAAGTGAAAAAATATGTGGAAAAAACGCCTTAACTGTAATACCCGGTTGGCTCGATGGCTCCGACTAGCCAGACAGTCAGCAAGCCAGCCATCCAACCCCATAGTCGAGGAAGATGAAAGGAAAATCATGCCAGTTACTGGCAAACGGTAGCACAGCTTAAACAACCATGTTTATGCATATTTATATTACAAAAGAAAATAGCTAAGTTAACTGTATCAAACAAATGTTTAAATAGCAATTAACCATTTAATTGGGTTAAACAGTGGCATTTACATGATACAATGGTGGTTGAGTAAAGAAAAAGAAGAGAAGTAATATTGAAAGGGAAAATTTTATTCATATAAATGCTTTCACTTTTAGGGAAGGATATGTGGGTTATGCTTCGGGAAGGTCTTCCAGTCCCCATTGAAAATTCAAAACAATTAACAAAGATTTCTATACCATAACCTGTAAAAATGGAAGTGTCATTAGCTGTCAAACTCTTAACCCATGGTAGAAGAATATAGGTAGTCGCAGCTGCTGGAACAATGAACTGTCAAATCAAATTTGGAAGTGAAACTTTTGGATGAAACATTATTCAAATTTGTAAAAATTGTTAAAAAAAATGCATATCATAAAAATCCACAATGTGTGGCATAAAAGAAAACATAAAAAATCTCCTTATTTCATTTTATAATTTTGACATATCAATATTCCCACATTGATGCACATACTTTTATTATTATACCATGCTATAACATATAAAATAGGCGTGTGCTTAGCTGTCAAATTCTCTTAGAAGATTCCAATATAAATAGTTGGTCTCAATGGAACAATTGCAATACACAGAATTTCAAAATGGGTCACACAGCCAGAAAAATCTAAGGAAATTTTTATGGTACAATTACTAAGGTGATCTCATGCAAACATACGATTACAATTTTTTTATTTGATGTCCCTTCATTGTCATATTTATATTTTGTAGTTCTTCCTTAAATTGTGGCGTACAGGTGTCGAGAAATTTACATTACTTTCAACCAAATATTTTGTTATTTTGTTGCCTAAAGAGAGTATCCATGGCACAATGAACTAAAGGTAACCCATTTTCAAATTAGCATTCCCAGTTCTACCATGAAAGTATCATGGAACAATTAGCAAGTTAGTCTCATGCTATCATACGGTTACATTTTTTTTGTTTTATGTCCCTTTCATGGCAGAAGAAGACAGATAAATGCATCAACGCTTGGGAACATTGATATGTCAAAAAAATTTAAATGTTTTTTCAAATATAAGTAGATTTTTATATACTTTCTTATACTACGTCACTCGGAGGCTATTATAATTTCGTTGTGTCGATGCGTCTACCTATATTATTCTACCATGGTCCCTTTATTGCCAAATTTATATTTCGTAGTTCTTCCTTAAATGTGGGCGTACAGCTGTCAAGAAATTCACATTTATTTCCGCCCAAATTGTTTGTCATTTTTACGCTTTTTGAGAGTGTAAAAGTCAAGAAAAATGTAATCAAAAACAGAAAACTAAAATACTAGTCTAATATGTCAAGTAGGACTTGATTATGGAATAGTTGATTTTTTTTCAGCCAGGACAAGTATGAAGACAATATCTCGCCTTGTATGCTACAATACTGGTAGAAAATTATCATCCCTCATTTTAAGTCGAATTGATATTCAATTTATTACAGGAAATGTTCAGCATATATTTTCATTGCAGTTTTGAAATACATGAGTAAAGTACAAATGTTTTTTTTTTTTCGATCACAACGAGCCCTCTTTTCATCGGAAAAATATATGTTAATCAAAAAAGTTTGTTGTGTATATGTGTGTGATAGCAAGAATTATGAGTCATATGTAAAATGGCAATTTTGACATACACACGGAAATATACAATGATACACATAAAATCATAGTAAAAAGTAAAGGTTTTTGTAACATATCAATGGCAGAAGAATACAGGTAGATGCATCAAAGCTTAGGAGCATTGATAGGTCAAAAAAATTTTAATGTTTTTTTCAAATATAAGTAGATGTTTATCCGAATGACATCGAATAAGAAAACATATTCGATGTCATTCGGAGATTATTATAATTCGCGTTTTTCAACAATTTTTACAAATTTAAATACTTTTTCATTTAACATTTTCAATTCCAAAATTGGTTTGACAGTTCATTGTTCCAGAAGCTGTGTCAATGCGTCTACCAATATTCTTCTACCATGGACATATCATAAAGTGATATCAGAGCGGCATTTTAATTCTGC